TCTTTTACATAACATCGAAGGATTCTATAGCTGAACATTATTGTTCGTTAATATCAATACCGATGTCTTCGAAATTTTTCTCATTTCTACGAAATATTTATATAACGAGCTTTTACACTTAAAAATTTGCATCTTTTTTTCTTGCCATTTTTGTCTTCAGCTACTTTTGAAGAATTTGATTTCTGAGCTGCAATTCATGAATAGTTACTTTAACATTTCAATGTTTAGTAGTTTTGGCTAGCATGCACTGCTGCTAGGCCTACTTGAAAGCCTGTTAACGACTTATTGCTAAGACTAGAAGATGACTACAAGAGAGGAAGGATGTAAAAGGCCCTTTTATTGAACTCAGTTATTTACAGGTGGCACAGTCTTTGTGCTTAACAAATCCACCGTTCACTCGTGGCGATAAAACTAAAGATAATAGTCAACTAAGCTATATTCAAAGATAAGATAGAATTCCAAAGCTACACAAATTAATTTAACCTCGCAGGTTGACTCAGAAACCTACACCGGCGTTATATCAAACTTCGGCAGCAAGAATGGAAGCCGATATTCAAAATTCAAATAGCTGGTAGAAACAACAACGTGCGCATTCAGGAGCGAAATACGCTCTGACTAACCTTTTCGCGCCTTCAGTTTAAATACACTCTCGTTCATTCTAACTCATTACATCCTGGCGAGGAAACGGAATAGAAACAAGAAATGATAAAAAAAAAAAAAAAAAAAAAAAAAAGGCTAGCAAATTAAAATAATTATTAGTAAAAATAATATAAACCTCACAACATCAACACTTAATATTTTTTAATGCTTAAAGTGCTCTCTAAAATAAAACCTTTCCTACCTTTTTCTTTGGCAATTAAATTAAAGTTGCCGGCCGAAAATGTTTTTTATACTATTTTCATTTCCTGTATTCAAATCATTCGACTTTTATTCATGACTGAGATCTGAATTATTTTCTGTCTAATTTATGTCTTCATGATCTGGAATGGTAGATAGTTGTCTTAGAAAGGAACATTTTCTTCTTTATATATATAAGCGGCTAAAGTGTGTGTCGCCGATGGTTTATTGTTGCCACTCGAAAAAAATGAGCGCGGAAATTAACGTTTCCGCAGTTTTTAATTAATATCTCGGCTGATTAAAGTCGTACGAAGATGAGAACGGTATCGATGGATTCGGAGAATTTTTGTGGAATCCGAGGATACGCGTCCCGAATTTCAACTCGGCGCCGTTCCGTAGATATTCTAGAAAAAAGAATTTGGCACGTAGCCAAATCCCTCTAATAGGGAAAACCCAAGAAAGAAAGTGGAAAATGTAGGGAAAACGTACGGGAAAACTAGTTTTTAATTAATATCTCAGCTACTTAAAGTCCCACAAAGACGCGAATGGTTAAAATGGCGTGCCACGGACTTGCGGAATCCAACGGTGTGCTTCGCTAAGCCCGGGAGCCAGCCGTTTCGGAGGAGATAATGTTACTTCACCCCATATATATATGCGGCTTAAGTGTCTGTTTGTCGCCGATAGTTTATTGGTTGCTTGCGTAACTGTACTAGCCAATGGGGTGAAATTGCCACGCCACAGGATGCCGTTTCAATTGAGATGTAGACAATTTCCTGTAAAACTTGCCTTTGCTGTGATCATTAATAAGTCTCAGGGTCAAACGCTTAAGCATATTGGCATTTTTTTACCTGAGCCTGCCTTTGGACACTGTCAACTTTATGTTGCTGTTCAACAGTTCGTGAAAGAACTCTAAATTAAACGTAAACTAACGTAAAATTAAAAATAATTTATGGTCCTCTGCAAGGCGAGCTTAGAAATGATGGAAAGATCTACACAAGAAATGTTGTGTACAAAGAGATCTTTGACATGTGAATTAACATTTTATTACTTAAATCACCTTTATTTATTGAGTTAGCGGTGGCTCTTAAGAAATGTACCGCCAGTGGTTTCCTTCATTGCACTATACTTTAAACAATTAAACAAGTAGAAGGAGGAAACCCCGGGGGGGCAGTAAGCAAAGTGGCATCCTCGCCACCTACCCTGGGTAATTCAGTTTAAATTAGCAGACACCTTTGCACAAATCATTTTAATTACAATTTATAATATCTAGAACAGCGGTCATTTAGTATGACCGCCGGACTTTCTAGTAGTATTAATAAGCATTATCTTCATTAGTAGATTTCTTGATTTCCCTATCCATGACGCATGTCACAATGTTACTTTCTTATATCTGTGATAATAATTGTAATCAAATACCGAAGACGACGACCATGGTTAATCAGTCATGAGTAATCCGAAGGCAGTTAGAAAAGCTCAGAAAAGAAGAATAATCAAAATTATAATTATCAGAAAAATACTGTAGGAAACTTAGCTGTATTTTCAAGCAGTTTTTTGGAGAATAATTTCATTTGGTAGTAAAGTAAAGTAGTATTCAAAATCAAAAGAATACAGGTAAGTAACTGAAGAATAAACATCTAGAAACGAAGAAATTATTATATATATCATAAAGCAAACAAAATTTACAAGAGAATCTGAAAAATATTATTAAGTTCAAATTTAAGTGAATAAGTCGTTTAGAACTTGTTGCTTTCCACCGCACAGTGCTTGTATATTTCAGATTACGGACAATATTCTTACGGAGAAGAATTACCATCAATTACTATTAGGTTGTCCGGAAAATAATGCAGGTTTTTAACGTATATCTTTATAGTATCATAACTCATCTCAAAAACAATTTTATTACTCAAAATAAGCAGCAGCCGAATTAATGCATTTTTGCCAATGAGATATAAGTTAAGACACAATAACACGCCGAATAATACTAATTCAACAATTCTAGATTTTCAAACAACAAAAATCAGCGTTATATTTACAAAATTTTCACAGGACTAGTTTCGATGGTTTAACCGAACCACCATCCTCAGCTGCAAAACCGCAAATGAACAAGATAGGAAATAATGATTAGATAAGATAAGAAAGCCTGGACAATAATAAGCAAGTGGCGCCATCTCTTGGTGAAACCAGAACTAAAACATAATTTCTTTAAAAGCCGAAGGCAAAGTTGGATTGGAATTAGGATCGTTAACTAGAACAGAAAGATTTTTATGAATGTGAAATGCCTCTAGAAAATCCAGTTCTCCAATGGAAGATGTTTTTTTTTTTTTTTTTTTTTTTTTTTTTTTGAATAATTTTGGCAGCAGAAAAATTGAAAGTGTGATTTTCGGACCAACAACGTTGAGCAACAGAAGACTTCTGTGTTTCCTTTTTTCTAACATATGCCTCATATTCATTGACGCGAAATTTTAAGGCTCTCTTCGTTTGGCCAAGTAAATGTAAACCACACTGGCAAAGGAATCCTATAAATACCCCAGGAATTCATATCCGGAATGGGGTCCTTGAGTATGGAACTCGGAATTTTATTGATGGGAGAATAAACAACCCGAAAGTTAAATTTCTGCAAAATATGTGCAACTTTATAGCTAATTGATGAAAAGAATACATAAGTGAGATATAAGTTTATTTATACCGGTAAGAATAATATTCTGGAGTTCTGGACGCGATAAAGTTAAAGGCGGTTTTGACCTCGTCTCGGTTTCTGAAGCATTTCTTCTGCAGAATGTTATCCAGATGTTTGAAAAGGTGATAATCGGTCGGCGAGAGGTCAGGCGAATATGGAGGAAGAGGGAAAGTCTCGTATCCCTATTCGTCCAATTTCTGTAGGGTCACTTGCACGATGTCCGGCAGAGTATCGTCATAGAGAAGAACTGGCCGCTTTCTGTTCACCAGTGCGTTTCTGTTGCACATGCGTTGCAATTTTTGGTGCGTTTAGTCGATTTGCCGTCAGTACTTATCTGCCATAATCGTTTCGTACAGATTTAGGAAGCCGTGGTGGAATGAGACCGGCCGCAGACCACCAAATCAGTCCATCAATAATTTCTTTTGGTGCAAATTGCATTTGGTGCATTTGGCTTTGGAAAGTGTTGTGGTGTCTGACCGCGGTCCAACCACTGATCTGAATGTTGCCATTCGTTGGAGAGAATCTACTTTTCATCGCACGTAACAATGCGATCAAAAAAAAGGTCGTTTTTGTTGAGGAGAAGAAGAGCAGACGATATTTCAAAACGGCGATTTTTTTTATTTTCGCTCAATTCGTGAGGCACCCACTTATCGACCTTCTTTGACTTTCCTATAACGGTTCAAGTGATCATTGCTTACGCGTTGTTTTGCCTCCGCCAAGCTCTTCGAAAAGTTGTGCACGCGGTCTGTTTCAAATTCTACTTAAGTCTTCAAATCCGTCGTCATCCCAACAGCTGAAGAATGCGTCCACGATGCTCTTGATCTTCCAGGTCAAATTCTCCACGACGAAACTTTTGGTATACCACTGTTGAACTGTAGATTCATTAACCCTTTTCTCGCCCATACTTCGTTGACATTTCGAGCCGTTTGTGCTGCGCTATGGCCTAGCTTCTACTCATAAAAGTAAATTTGCAGAAAATCCCGTTTTGATATCTAAACAAAAACACCTAGTAAATATTTTTCAAAATAATTTCGGAACAAAATGATTATTATAGAAATATAGAGCGAAACTAGAGCTTCAAAATGATATATAAACTAATGTAATTCAAAAATATTTTTGTTGCTAAAAATGTACAGGAAAGATAAATAATTGCAAAAACCTGCATTATTTTCCGGACAACCTGATATGATATCATCTACTGTCACTGCTGCTGTCCCATATACTTTTCTTTTCTGCTTTGCATTTTCTATAGACAATTTTCTTTTGCGTTAATAGTTTACGACAGTAATTTTTCCGTTTTCACGCAGTAAAGAAATTTGGCATTTCAATTTTCAATCTCCAGACAGGATATGATAAATATAGAGCCCGGTTAATCGAGAGTTAACTATAATTTCGTTTTATTGCATCAATAAGAATACACATGTTTCCGTTAATATCTAATTCAGTACAAGCCTTTCTAGAGACCATAGGAAAACTTTACTCTTACCTGTACTGGAACTGTATTCACCAATGTAGCGCTTTGTTAGGTACCGGACAGTGACAGCTGTAAGAAAAAACACATTCATATTAGCTTCAACAAATTAATTTTAAGATACATTTTTCTTTCAATGAGATACATTCCGCAGGAGAAGAAGAGGAAAAATGACATTGTTTGTTTACATTAGCTGTACATAAGACACGTGATCTGAGGCCATCTGCATTGTTTGGTTACAAAAGCTATACATAAATCACGTGATCTCTGAGATCATCGGAATGTATCTCATTAGATTTCTATAATTCTTTGATGAAATAGTATATAGAAAATGAGGCTGAAGAAGAACAAAACAAGCTTATGCCTTATTCATTTTATGACAGTTCTTAAAATGTTCACGCAGTTTGTCTTGATAATTTTTAAGATATTGGATTACCAAAAAATTTGTTAATTTTTTTCTCAGTTTTTTTGGAGGAGGGCGCATGAGAAAGGTGCTATGCTCTTACCGGGGTTCGGATATTTCAACTAGCTGGAGGTAAGCTATCATTTACACCATGACGGTACGTAAGGAGTAATGCGAGAATTTCTTATAAGTATAGGTTTTGGTATGGTTTCGTTTATTTGATTGTGGCAAAGAACTCAAGGACTATCTTCGAATTATACACATGGGGCAAAAACCACGAAAGCACCCATTCAGACAGCACTTTTGCCGGAATTCGAACCCCGGACCGAACTATCAGTGTTCAGCGGCTTTACCACTCCCTTATATATATAGTAATAAAACCCAGTGACACATCGATCGATCATATATATGTCTTTGAAGATTTTATGCTGTTGTTTTGAATAAAAAATTGTTTTTGTCAAAACGATAGCATTAACTTTTAAAGATACGTATATATATTGTTGCGTTTTTTTTTTCTGACACCAATTGTTACGTTATTTTCTTCCTTCACGTTCGTACGGGGTTTATAGATTTGGAATGAATAACGAAGACACTTGATGAAGTATCGAAACACACTTTATTTAGCCAATATTAATCAGGACAGCTCCAAAGTCACTTTTACAGTCGTCGAACATCTACAATAAACACTCTGGAACAATCAGCGACACAGCCTTCACACTGTCAGGCAATAACGGTGGAGACAGCTTCACTGCAAAGCACCAGAGTACAGCTCCCGACTCTGCTCGGTCGTTCTCGGAACTCCACGTACTCTCGAGACTGTCCACGCTACAACTCGCGATGCACTCGACGACACGCAGAGCACAGCTCCCGACTCTTCGGTTCAGTCGTTCCCGGAGCTTAACAGACTCTCTCGACGATGCACTAACCGCGATACACTAAGAGACTCTTCGATGCACTCGACGACAAACTCGGCGCTAGACTTCGAGACACTCGCTCAATGACTATCAGCCCGCTAGACGAGGCACACTCTAACTCGCATTCTGGACCAGCAGAGTTTATATAGCTTTCGGCTTGTGTTCGTGAACATTCTGGGCTAAACCGGTAAGAATTCGTTCCAGAAGGCTCTTCATCCGTCCATGGTATATCACCAATTTCGTCGCCAAATGGGCGATTTCTCACCAAATGTGGCAACCTTGCCTTCCCTTGCTATTTTATGGCAAACCTAAACATGCTTTGCGGGAAAGCTATCTCACCGCGCCTGGACATTTCGTAACAGTATGATAAGTGTGACTCTATATATTACTAGGTTTATTTCAGAGTATACTATTATACACCTTGCTACAAGACCCGGGTTTATAAACACGTTTCCCGGTAATTTAGTTTAAATATCACGCTGAATAACATAAAAAAAGTCCAACATTAAGAATCAGCCTAAATTTTTAAAAAATTTTGCTGCATTAGTTTCGATAATTTTTAGAAGGTAGTTCAAAAACTATCGAACCTAGTACTGCAAAAAGTTTTTTAAATTTACCCTGATTGTTAAAGTTGAACTTTGTTTTTGAACGTTTGCCGGTAGTTTACTGAATCGCCTGGTATTTAATTTTTAGCTTTTATTAAGGAAAACGTTTTCCAGCAATGAGTAAAATTTATTGAATTAATGTAACTTAATTTGTACGAAATGTATTATTCACCCCTAGTGATTTTCAGCATAATTTTTCTTGTCAAATTTTATTTGATCGAAATTGTCTTAATCTACTTGAAGACTTCTGTAGAGCTTTAATAAAGGTTCAAGCAATGCTTAATCAGTTAATAATTATTTAATTTTGTTTCCCGTTAATATATGGCGCATTTGAAGACATAACCGTAAAATACTTAATTATTAATTTTATTTTCATCATATTTAAAAAGACTTTGATAAATAAATAAAAGCTTTATCTATCTATTCATATTTTCTCAGTATAAAAGCTGAAGAAAATTACAAAATTAAATCAACCAAAGAATGTAAAATTTAAACTCTCAAAATTAAATATTAATATATTTTACATTAGAATCATAAATGCTTCAATAACTTGAAGGTTGCATTATAAAGCGAATTTAAGGAAATTTGGAGATCTCTGGAAATGGCATTGCAGCACAGTGCCTCCAGGGTTTCATGTTTCAAGGTTTATAGATATGTCACACAAAGCAGAATCTTTAGAAACACCACCTATCTCTTATAGTTTGAAATAAGAATGCAGGTTAAAAAAAAAATAGCTGTAACGACATTTCATGATAGACGTTAGAATTGGGAAGCTTAAGATGCTAATTTATGTTAATGAATTGCATAATAAAGTCTTATCTTGCTTAGTCCCAGTTACTTCATATTATTCATACCCTAATCCCACGTGATTCTTGGAACATGTTTGTTATCGTCGGTTTCCTGGGTATAGCAGACCACTTGATAGAACTGTCAGAAGTAAAGAAAGAAAAGAAGGTGTTTCGTGTTTTGCAACACCGAGGGGGTTCCAGATGACCTACTCGCTCGTAACTTAATACTTCCGCAATTGCAGGACACTGGCGCCGAATGTCGTGGGCGGAATCCATAAAAAAAGTCAAATTCCCATCCCTGAGGATTAAACGAAAGTGTCCACGGCGGAAGCCCGACGTTTGGCCATACGTTGTTTCAAAATTTCGTCATCTTTCTGCATTATTTGGGCGTCTTCAGGTGTATTGCTTCTTCGTCAATTATTGGGACTACGGAGAAAGAGGCAATGGGGTCACGTGGTGCTCCAGGGTGGCTGGAAGTAAGTAATTCGATACTCCAATGAGCAAGTCAGTCTGCACTCTCGCGCCCATTTCGCCAGACATTGACGATTCAGGAAAATCTTGTATCGTATAGTTCTTGACCTGCACTTGAGAGTAGCGGTCAGACGTATTGATAGATCTGCTTCTTGTGCAGCAGTTTATAACCAATTTATCCTGCATGATTTGTAAATATGCTAAAAATACCAGAATCTAGATATCCGAGATGCAAAGAAAATAAGCAAACGAAATAGTGAGTTAATTTCAATAGCAAGAATCAGGAACTTATTTATGTACGGCCAAACAATTATTAAACTATTAGAACAATTATTAAACTGATAAACAATTTAATTGCATGTTTTGTCATATATTTGTAATTTAAGTAATTAAGGCTTGTATTAAAATCACGAAAAATTCTTTTTTATTCTTAATTAATTTATTATTTATTTTCTTTTTTTATTTTTTATTTTTATCAAATTAAAAGAAGACCGTGATTTAAATGTACGCGTTTATATTTTATAAAGTACAAAATAAACTGAAACCATGAGAACAAAACACTTAGGAAAATAAAATGTGTTTTTTATTAATGAAAAACTAATAAATTATTAGTTTATTCACAAAATAATTTATATAATACTCAACAGTGATTATTTACTGTATATATTTATGAGCACTATATCTTTTTATATATTAATCGTAAAACCTTTTACTCCAGGTTTCCGGTTTTGCAAAAGTTTTTGCTCCGAGCTTTGGTTAGAATATCAGCGAAATAAAATTCAGCCTACTAGTTAATGATAAATTAAAAGAATTGCATTTAAAGAAGATTTATCGAACTGTGCTGATAAACAGAAATAACAGTTGTCGTGACATGAGTGTTGTTTTTTGTGTCAAGCTAATTACAACTCTCATAATCGCGGACTTACGGGACGCCATTTTGTGCATTCGCGTTTTCTTAATTGTTTCTATATAATTTGTCCAATGCGGGAATTTCGGTTACATGCGGTCCGGTTTTCCATAACAACATACCCCTTACCCGACTTTCACATGTACAACAAGGTTTACTCTACCGACGAGAAATCTTTCAGCATGTGGCGACACTGACTTATAAGTTTGCTCATAAGCAACTATTCCTTTTGCGTCTTTGTTTCGTCCTTTTCTGTCAGTGATGTCATAGAACTCGATAGTTGAAAAGACAATCTTATATGTCTACTGATAGTACTTATTACAAAGAATGACCAAGCAGAGTTCCTATCATTTCATCCAAGTTATCAGAACTGTAACTACTCATTAAGAAGTGTTATCCTCTTGTCCTTTTGCTTTTGTATGCGTCTTAAACTAAAAATCCAATATAACATCTAAAAGGAAGAATGAAGATAATAAATCAACACAAAAATTCAGAGTTTTGATATTATCTAAAAAAGATCTAGCTTTAGATAAATTGAAGTAAAGTACACGTGTTTCATCGCTTGCAAAGAAACTATCTATAAAAGAATAAAATATAAAAACAGGCTGAAGAAAATATTCGGTCTAATGTCAGAGGTTCACGTGATACTTTGGCAAAGGTTGCTCAAAATTTAAGAATTCCTCAGTTGGGAAAAAGTGTTAATACGAGGGCAATCCCCCAAAAAAAAGGTCTCCTATATTTTTAGATATACAAAGAACCGTTTATTTTCTATAATTGCTACATCACCTTAAAGATTGAAGAATGCTTTATTTTTCAACATAATCGCCATTTCGGTCGATGCATTTTTGTAGACGCTGTGGCAATTTTACGATGCCCATGTCATACCAGCTTCCCGCCATGCCCTTGAGGAAGCGTTGAAATCATCAACAGTTCATCTTCAGAAGAATCAACCCGTTGCTGTTTGTGGTCGTCTGTCAGCATACG